GTTGATTTAGTTGGGATTGGTCCTGCCTTGGGCAGGGGGCTGGACTTGATGACCTTCTGAGGTCTCTTCCAGCTCTATGGTTCTATGATTCACAAAGTCTACTTTAAGTGCCTCAGGGAAATCTATCTGTTGGAGGCCTGCAAAATCTGCAAGGGTTTCAAGCTGCAGACCAAGCAAGAGAGTCCCACTTAGGGTTGCCAGGTGTCTGGTTTTGAACCAGACAGTCCAGTATTTGAGCTTTCTGTTTGGGAAACAAATTGAGAAAATATAAATGTCCGGTATTTTCTAAATAAGTTGTAATGTAGATTGTGATGTAATGACAAGTGTGTCTGGTATTTTTGTTGAAACCATCTGGCAACCCTAGTTCCCATTTGAAGATCATACTCGTGGAAGCAGCTCTCTGCCTGACACCAGCATCGGACCCAGCACCGACAACCCACAGTGCACCGGTTTTGGTGCGGGAGACTCCCTGCCACTTGCACCAGTCCCAGTTTCTGGTGCCTCAGAAGAAACAGAGACCTAGCTGGGCAAGTCTCTGTCGAGGCATGTGCCATCAGTGCACCCTTTGGTGGGGAATGTGGCACCAGCAGGATCAGCACCCGGACCATCGAGATCGGGTCAACACCATTCTAGCTCATCTCAGAGCTCGAGCCTGGTGGAGGACCTCCCGGAGCCCTTGATGCCTGACATCTCTGAGGCTGTGAGGGACCTTATTGAGCTGATCTTGTCTCTGACCCCTTCACCGGGTCAGCCTAAGAAGTGTCAAGCTCAGCGGCACTGGACAACATCCATGGCACCGCCAGCCCCAGCACCAGACACAAGGGCCCACCACCACACCACGCTGGTGCCGTCAACCTCAATACCAACATTGACCCCCGCACCATATCTGACACCAGCACCAGCCACAGCAGTACCACTGGCACTGATCTCAGCACCAAGCCAGGACACTCACATGGTACCATTCCTCGCACGGGGTTCATCTGTGCCTTTATCTTTGTGGCGAGCAGACCATCACCAGCACCCTCAATGACACCACCTCCTCCTCGGCACTGAGGAAAGCCAGAGTATATGGCCTGGTGCATTCCTGGGCATAGATCACTGGCTGCAACAGCTGCGACACTGCCCTGGTCGACTGCCGAATACTCAACCAACTTGGAGGCAGAGTCAACCGTATTGTCACGGAGCTCCAGATGAGGTCGAGGTACAGGTCCTATTTCCAGCACCGCTCCTGGCACTGAAGCACATCAGTGTTAGGCACCAGTAACAGTTCTACGCTCCACAACCAACCCCAGTGCAGCCAGGGCAGCAGTCCTGGCCACCCCAGTGTTAGGCTCCTGGACAATGGCCCTTCTGGACTCCCTGGGCATATCACCAGAGCCAGGGCATGGGTCCCTTTACAGCAGAGTCCGTCATCTCTGGGTCTAGGGCCCCTCCATTGGCAACCCCACTGACCCGCTCCTCTACATCAGGCCAGTCCCTACCTCTGGGGCAGGTTTCACCCAGACCCTCAGTGAAGAGGAGACCATCCTCATTGCAGCCCTACATGCTGGTATCCTCAGTGGCCTCCAAGACCCCTTCGCAGACCTGGGACGCAGAAGAGGTGGGCCTAAAGGGGGTCATCTTCCTCATCCCCTGACGAGGCCCTTGGAGGGGTGCTACCATCTATGACCTCCATCGACTCAAGGTCCTGATCCTGGACATCTGCAGAGCTGCCATGTAGTCTTCAGTCCACACCTTTGCCAATCATTATGCACTGGCCCACCAGACTAGGGAGGATGCAGCCCTAGCTCTGCTCAGTTGAAGGTTAGAACTCTGATCCTACCTCCTAGGGTTTCTGCTTTGGAGTCACCTTCATGTAATGGACATGAGCAATCACTCTAAGAAGAAAAAGCGTTACTTACCTCTGTAACTGTTGTTCTTCGAGATGTGTTGCTCATGTCCATTCCATATCCCGCCCTCCTCCTCTTCTTCAGAGTAGTCCAGTAAGAAGGAACCAAAGGGGTGGCGGATCAGCAGGGGTATGTATTAGCAGAGAAAGCGGTGCCGCTCTAGGGGGCTCCCCTGCTGGCCCAATGGGTGCTGCTAAGGGAAAAAACTTCAGACGATGCATACCGCAGCGCACGCACACCTACATGGAATGGACACGAGCAACACATCTCAAAGAACAACAGTTACAGAGGTAAGTAACCATTTTTTTTACAACCTTTGTGTAATGTTCCAGGGTGTTTGTTTGACTTGCCCTCACAGCATAGAGATGGCTATATTTTAGTGAAAGAATCCCTGCAGATATATAGTCTACAAAATGCTTTGGAATGGAAGATGCTATGAATTTAAATGTTAATTCATAAACCCCAGAAAATTGACTCTATCGAACATTATATTGTGCCTGTTCTTGCTTCCTTTTGGAAACTAACTCACAGGTCACTGTTAATGTAATAATATATCCCTGAGTTATGAAATTTTATCTGCTTCCCACAAAGAGAAATGACATTCTGTAATAAAGAAAGCATTGAAGCAAAAAGAGACATTCTACCGTGTAGGACATTAGTGATATCATCCACCCAAAATGATTAGCTGACCTTGTATTGCCTAAGGTCCAACATTTTCAGATAAGAAAATAATTTGTTGTAGGCTAGGCCAGACACCAGTTAAAAGTTTATTTGGTGTGGAAAGTGTCTCTGCTAGCACCAGATGATTCAGATTTGTTTTGGGGGGTTACATTATCAGAGAATGCCCACTCTTGGGGAAATGACAACAGTCATGGATATGCATGAAAAGATGGAAGATAACTGTTCCAGCTCAAAGGAAGGAACAGGCTCTACCTGTGTAGGTAAAAAGCTCTCTATTCAACAGACTCCTCTGCTTTGGACAAGGAAAGGGGCAGTGTTGCTTGGGTTAGGGTGGCTCCTCTGTGCCTGTGGGATAGGAGGATTGTAGGGTCCTTGCAAAGGGAATAGGTTCTGAGCTTACAAAAAATACATACACACAGCAGCTATCAGCAGGCTCCATAACAAGTGGCCATGGGGGGATGTGTCCCTATCTGTCTGTGTGGGGTAGGAGATGTCTCGATGCGGGGAAGAAAGGAAGGGTAGGTGGGTCTGAGCCTGAGGGTGAGTGACAAACCCTTTATGTGTGTAGTAATAGAGAGGGAGCCTGTTAGTCTGCCAGTCGTCAGGGGCTCATACTCCCCCTGGTCAGAAGAAATGCCCTTTGAGCGGGGGGGAGGACAGCGAGGTGGGTCTGTCTGCGAGTGATCCTTGCCCCCCTTCGGTGCGGGGCGGAAACACAAGCCCCCTGTGAGAGGGGGAGGGGCAGTCTGCAGTGCCAGGCACGTGCCTCGAGGGAGGGGCGGTTCGTGAGTGCCTCTGGCGAAGGGGGGGGGGGAATTCGCAGCAGCTCCTCCCCCCGAGAAGGGGTGTCACCGCCCCCATCGTGCTCCGCTCGGGTTTGAAAGCAGCGCCCCGCCATCCCCCCCTCGCCGCTCTGCCATTGGCCCAGAGGCAGGGCGGGGGCTGGTTTGTGCCAGGCCCTGGTGTGTTCCGGCAATGAGGTCCGGCCGGTCCCGCTGCCCCCGCTCTCTGAGTTCCGCTCCGTGTGTGTGCGGGTTCTGGAGGGGAGCCGGGCTGGGCGAGCTCTGTGCCGCCGCCGCTGCTAACGCCGCCATGGAGAGAGGAGGCGGTGGCTGCGGGAGGGGGTGACTCGGCGCCCCTTCCCCCGATGAGACTGTGCCTGGACTGGCAGGGCTGCTACACCCTGTCCCTGTGGGTGCTGAGGAGGAGGATGTGGGCTGGCCCGGCCAGGTACCTGAGGAGCCCTTTATCCAGGTCCCTCTACATGAATATGATGGGCAGCCACAGCCAGCCAGCCCCGGGCACCAAGGAGAACCACCAGGTACAGCCTTAGGAGGCAGCAGCCCGCCCCGGAGCAGGGGGGACTGGCAGGGCTGCTACACCCTGTCCCTGTGGGTGCTGAGGAGGAGGATGTGGGCTGGCCCGGCCAGGTACCTGAGGAGCCCTTTATCCAGGTCCCTCTACATGAATATGATGGGCAGCCACAGCCAGCCAGCCCCGGGCACCAAGGAGAACCACCAGGTACAGCCTTAGGAGGCAGCAGCCCGCCCCGGAGCAGGGGGCTCCCCGCCCCCATCCGGCTCTGAGAGGCAGCAGCCCACCCGCAAGGAACGGGATGGGGGGACTCAGCTGAGAGCATCATGCAACGGGGACTCCTGCCCCCATCCAGCCTCTGAGAGGCTGCCCACCCGCAGGGAACGGGGTAGAAGTGTGTGAGACCAATGGTGGGGGAGGGAGAGATAGGAGCATATGGGGGCACAGAGTATAAGGGGGGTTGGGGGCACTGAGCAAGGGAAGCTCACAAGGTAGGATCTGTGGGGCACAGAGTACAAGAAGTGGAGTGAGAGAGACCCAGGGAGTCCAGGCAAATGTCTGCTTGAGTGAAACAAAGGGAGTGGATAGCTGATTTTTATTGACTAGGAAGTTTGCGTTTGTTTTCTGTGTCAAAGTTATTTAGGACATTTTAATACAGTACATAAGTTGACAAAAACAGCATAGAGCGAGGAGAAATTTTAGCGCAATATATGTGGCTTTTACTAAGCTGTACGGTGCACTTCCATATTAATTAAAATGATCTCAGATAGGAACATATGGATTGGAGATTAGCTCAAAGATGGAAAATAAATTGTAACAATAAATAAAGTCTCAAGTTGCAGTAAGGTGACTAAAGGGTTCTAGAAATCCTACCTCAGTGCAGGGGGGCTGGACATCATGACTTCTTGAGGTCCCTTCCAGTCCTGAAGTTCTGGGATTCCTGGTTATGATTCATGTTAGGATCTTTATTTCATGTCTTTCTAGATGAGGGAGTAAACAGAACCTTAATGACAGTTGCAGAGGGTGCTAACTTTAGTAGGGTTGCTAGCGCAAAGACAGAAAATTGCAAAATAATATATGTGTGTGTGGGGGGGGGGAATAATCTGATAAAATATATAGTGAGAGTGAGAAACTGAAACAGCAAAGTTTAGAAAAACTTAAAGGTGGACAACAAACTAGATGTGAGTTTGCAATAAGATATGACTACAGTGGAAGCTTCATGTGATTTTTTTGGGCTGCATATGGGTTGGTCACTTTCTGAAAGAAAAAGGGGAAATAACTTTTCAATTCAGCTTTTGTGTGAGGTGACTGCACCTGAAATATACTGAAAACTTAGAGGGAGTTCAAGAAAGAGAAATCCAAATTATCATTGTGCTGAATTTCATCCAAATTACCTTTGTGCTGAAGGAATTGACTTATTGAGGAGAAACTGAGTAAGGTATACATAGCTTGATTTACTGGTGGAAATATAGTGTATAAGTACTTGAAGGGTACAAATGCAGAGGAGGGAGATTAATTACGTAGGCATTGATCCTGCAAGTCCATTCCATTGATGTGGACACAGAAGTTTTGCAGAATCTGTGTTATTTAGGAGTCTGAGTGATGGGATGAGACCGAGGGATAAAATATAGGCTGAGTATAAAAAAACAAAAAAAACCCAACAACCTTTTGACAGTAGAATAAAGGAGACTTTGGAAGCTCCATAAAATCCAGAACATGTATTATACGGAACAATTTGTTATTTGCAAGTAGATGGATTGAATGAACTAATGGATTGCTTCCATCTCTAATTTTTGGTCTTGGTTTTAGGATTTAGCATGGATTTATTGAGGGTGTAAGGGAACCTCCTGGAGTAATTTATTATGAATAAAAGCTAATTAATATCCATGGGATTACTTGCATGAATAAATGCTGCATGACGAGGTTCTAATTTCTATATAAGGCTATGTCTATGTTTACAATTTTACAGCTGTACCAATACAGCTGTGCTGCTGTAGAAGGAAGTGCTCCTGTAGCTTCACTTTGCCAATGGGAGAGAGCTCTCTCGCGATGATAAAACCAGCTTAATGAGTAGGCCCCTGCAAGTCTGCTTTATATCTGCTTTATATCTATGGGTGTCTGTATCTGCAGATATGGATATGGACATGGATATCCATGACTCATTTTTGCAGCTACAAATGCAGATATGGATACAAGATTATGTGCAGTGCTCTGCCGATGAGTAGCTAGCTATGTTGGTGGGAGGGTGTCTCCTGTTACATAGTGCTATGCTTATGTCGTCAAAACATGTTGTTCAGGATTGTACACAGCGACAAAGTTTTGCTGATATCAATGCTAGTGTAGACATGGCCTTACTTTAAATTATACTCTTTGGTTTTTCATTCTTAGGGAAAGTAGTTAACTGAATGATCTGGTGTATTTTGTTTGTTTGTTTTTTTTTAATTTTTTCATTAAACACTGGTTAACAAATTTTGGCAATAATAATAGTAGAGAGTTTTGAAAGCTTGTTTTGGTAATTGTAGTAACTGGATTTTTTTTTCATTCCAATGTGGGGTGTTTTCTTGTTTGTTTGTTTTTTAGTTTTTAGAAATGTGCAAAAACTTGGTCCAAGGTGGAACTCAGCTGACATTTTTGCTCATTTACAAGCAGTTTTAAAAAAATCATTCATTTTTTTCAGAGCTTTGCTAGAAACTTGCATAATGATGTACTGTGTTTCCACTCATATTGAAATATTTCCTTAGCTGGATGTCTTAAGGAACTGAACTTTTTTTTTAAAATCTAAAATAGCCAAATTGTTGGTTTCTGATGCTTTATTTTTCTCTTACAGATCAAAGGTGATTTGAACTGTAGTGTCTCTGTGTTATAAGTTGATGGTATTTAAACTTTGCTTTTACATCTGAATTTTTGGGTTCAGATGTTGGATAATTGTTCAAGGTAGTAGCTCTGTTAAGACCTTTATGTGAAAGTTTGCTGTCAGCTGCAGTCATATTCTCTCAAGCTGTCTATGGTTGATCCCTTTATGGAGCTGGTTAAAATGGAGAGTTATAGATTTTATTGAATCATATTTCACATCATCTCTGTATACCTTTTTTATTTAGAATAATGCTAAAAAGCTTGAAACATACAAGAAGGATTTCCATGTTCTGTTGTGTGCAGTAATATGTCTGTTGTGATATGCTAGATCTCTCCATCACCTAACTTGGTGGCCGAGAGAGAGAGCGCGAGCCTTAGGAGGCGCTGGTGGCTGCCCCGGCCCAGCCCAACCCCAGCCTCGCTCAGGGAGAGGGGGCAGTGAAGGGGGGAAATCAGCCCCAGTCTTCCCCAACAGGCTGGCTGGAGCACGGGGAAGGAAGGCTGGGGCAACTGGCCGCCCCAGTATCACATTTATTTGGAGGACCATGGAGCGTGCTTCTGCACAACACCTCTCCTCCCCCCTGCATAACAGCCAGCAAAGTAACATTTCTATAGACAGGAAAAAGATAAAAATAATAGAAACATAATTTTGCAAAAAATATTGTAGAATGATTCTTTCCTTCTTTACAGTTGATGCTGAAAGGGACACACTTACATTTTTCTATGTTACTACAGTCAAAATAATGGTTTTAACCATTGCCTTCTAATTTGTTGAAGGCGGGTTTAGCAGGTAGGGGTTAAAAAGCTGTTGTCTGCAAACAATTTTTTTACACTAGAGCACTCACCGTTACTAGCAGTGGTAGAATCCACAGCAGAAAACTTTAAAGGAGGGGAAAAAAAGCCTCATGGGTTGATAAGAAATGGAGCTTCAAACCATGCTACCTGTAAACATATTTGAAAGAGCTTTTTGAAACATAATTCTACTAGAACAATACCTAGCTTATGGACTGTTTTGAAACTAGTGTAGGATTTGCGTCTGTGTGAAAAGACCCAAAATCACAGAAGCTGGACTAGACTATTTGCCCTGTTGCAGCTGTCTGCTCCCCTCTGCTTGCTGGCATTGTTATTGTCAGCCAGCAGGATATTGAAACATAAATCCTGTATCATTATTTGTATTGCAGTAGTGCCTAGAGGTCCTATTGTGCTAAACGCTGTGCAAACATACATGAAGAGACAGTTCCTCTCCCAGCAAGTGACTGTAACAAACAAATGGAGAAGTAAGACACAATAAGTATGTGCTTTTGCATAGCATTGCTACCTGCATGATTTTAGGTTTAGGACAGTTTTTTGTTTTGTTGTTTTTGATCAATGACAGCTGTCCCTGCTAGCCATCTTCCTAATCATCATCAATTTGTGTTCCTATGTGGGGGTTTTGTAAGACCCTATTTATATTTCAGCTTTTAAAGTTTTTTTAAACAAAAGCCTTGCAAAGCCCCATCTATACTACAGATGCACTCTCATTGTATATTTCTGTTGCAACATGGTTGCCCTGACAGTTGAATTACAATTTGGGTAATTCAAAGCTTTAGCAAACTTTGCAGCATGGTTTGTAAGATCTTTGGGGCAGGAACTGTCTCTTTGTTCTGTTTGTACATTGTCTAACACAGTGGTGTTTTCATTCATGATACATCTTTTAAGCACCATGATAAAACAAATCATAAAATAACTTCTGCATTGAATTTGCAATCTCCCCCTTTTTTTTAAGTTAGTTGTTATGATACCCAACATGGTTTTATTTTTGCTATAGACAGGCGTGCATATCAGTACCCTATAATTTCACCACAGCAGAGGTGGTAAGCAAAACATAAGTATGTGCTGGGATATTACAGTGTGTTTTTGGTCATAAAAATGGTATCATGTTTGTGTCTCAGTGGCTTCTGTATCAAAATTGCTGAGTTTACAAGTCAAAAGATACCATTCCTAATTGTTGATTTCTGCAGATTCAGCCTGAACTCTGGAAATCAAGCTAGGCTCTTTCCTTCTCCTGCATTATCAACAGTAGTAAAGATTCTGCATGCTAAATTACCTTTCTACATCTCTGAGATTAAGCAGTCTTCAAATTAGGCCTTCAGTGACACCCTGAAGGCCTAATTTGAGCTATGGCTATGCTTCCCCTCCCCCCCGCCCCAGTGGTGCAGCACTGATATAAATGTTTGGAACTAGAAATGTAATATCTGATTAAGGATGGTGTGGGCAGGAAGGGCCATTCTGGACCAGCCAGGCTGGAACAGCATCCCAAGCATGCTTGGGCTGGGTCTACCAGCAACAGTGGCTGTTCCATCTCCTGACTGCAGCAGGTGGGGAGTTGCTCCAGCCCCCACTGATGAACTGGTAAGCCACATCCCTAATTTGAGCTTAGTAAACAATCTTCTTGATGATGCAGATGACGGGAAAAGTATCCTCAACTTCGATGATTGAATCAAACGAGCAAAGATTATTCTTCATGGACACTGACTGTATGAGCTGGCTAACCCCAGAACTGGCTCTGTGGTGCCACCTGTCCCCCTGCCACTGCCTCTATTAAAGGCAGGAGTGCAGGGGAGTAGGGCAGGAGAGGCTGCTACAAAGCAGTCTCTGTCTGGGGGCCCGGACCCGTCACAGACAGAAGCTGCTCTACAGAAGCAGCTCCTGTCCGCAGGGGGTCCGAGCTCCCCACGGACAGGGGCTGTTGCCACCCTGTGCTGCTGCCTCTGTATTGGAGGCAGTAGCATGGGTCGACAGGCAGGAGCCAGTTCACTTGGGAAGCTGATAGAGAGGTAGCACTTGATACAGAGGTAGCAGTGCAAGATGGCAAGGGGCTCCTTGGGAGTGAGGTAGGAGCCACTGGCTGCTGGCCCCGCCCCTGGGGACTATCAAATAGTTGTCTTACTGCTAAAATTTCTTGCAGTTATATGACTGTTCAGTTATACACTATCTAACATCCCTAGAGCCTTCCTGAAACAGGCAGAGATCATTTTCCTGGTTGCAAATAGAAATAGATACATAGGTAGCAGTGCTGGGGGGGAAGAGGGGCTATATGTAACTGTAAAGGTTAGCTGATGAGCCCAGGCTCATCAGTTAACTGGGTAGATGATTACACTTTCACATCACTAGTATAGTACAGGCAGTCCCCAAATTACGCGGATCCGACTTACGAACGGGGCTTTTCTCGCCCCAGAGGACGTGAGCAGCGGGACGCCCAGATGCGCCATGATCCCGCTGCCCGCGTCCTCCGGGGCGAGAAAAGCTGCTCTGCGTCTCCCTGGTCTGCTGGGGGGGAGCTCCCCCCCAGCAGACCAGGGAGACGCAGAGCAGCTTTTCTCGCCCCGGAGGACGCGGGCAGCGGGACCATGGCGCATCTGGGCGTCCCGCTGCTCACGTCCTCTGGGGCGAGAAAAGCCCCGTTCGTAAGTCGGATCCGCGTAATTTGGGGACTGCCTGTACTATACTAGTGATGTGAAAGTGTAATCATCTACCCAGTTAACTGATGAGCCTGGGCTCATCAGCTAACCTTTACAGTTACATATAGCCCCTCTTCCCCCCCAGCACTGCTACCTATGTATCTATTTCTATTTGCAACCAGGAAAATGATCTCTGCCTGTTTCAGGAAGGCTCTAGGGATGTTAGATAGTGTATAACTGAACAGTCATATAACTGCAAGAAATTTTAGCAGTAAGACAACTATTTGATAGTCCCCAGGGGCGGGGCCAGCAGCCAGTGGCTCCCACCTCCCTCCCCAT